ATACATATATATATTACATACATACATACATACATACATACATACATACATACGGATTCTCCACTTAGAAAGCTACATGCGTGGGTTACAAGGGCTACATGCTCCGCACAAAGGGGAGGGGGCCCCCCTCCGCCCGTAAAAGACTGAAGAGGCCCCTCCCTTTTTGGAGGGCTAGTGTAGCGCTTCGGGTTTGGCTATCCTAGCTGTACACCCCCACGGTTGCAAACCACCTATGACGAAAGTTTTTGTGTGTGGAGTCGTACGAGGGATGGGGCCGAGGGGGGAGCGGAGGGGGGGCCGGGGCTGGAAGTGACCATTCGGGCGGATGTTAACCGTCCTACCCGCCATGCCGTACGCGCTGTCGGCGTCCACCTCCGCTGCCGCCGCGGCGGCGTCGCCGCCGCTCCGCAATCCCGCCCGCGCCGCCGCTGCCGCCGCCACCGCTGCCCTGGAGCTGGCCCTCACCGCATCATCCCAGGCCGCCTGCGCTCGGGCTTCGCTCTCCGCGAGCCGCCTCCGCAACCCGTCAACCGTCTGATAGGCCTGCTTAAGCTGCCGCCTGCCGGGCGGCGGTAGAGGTGCCGTGGAGGCAGCGACGGAGGATGCGGGGGCAATGGTGAGGGAATGAGCACGGAAAACACACACGAAACTTGACGTAATTCGGGGGACCCCTTCCGAAGGAGGAATATTCCAACCCCCCGCCAAGCCCAAATCCCGGAGGTCTGCAGACGGCGGGGAAGAGGTGTTGACGGAACACCGCGGTGTGTGGGTATGAGAGCAATCGCCCCCCCTCCCCCTCCCCATCCCCATCCGTACACACAACATGCACTCACACGCCTAATTTGTGTTTGACCCCCCCCCTTGGGCCCCCTTGGGCCCCCCAGCCCCCTCGGAGCCCTCGGGGAACCCTGCTGATGGCCGGTAGCGCTTTCTTGGATCCGTATCAACACTATGTCGTACCCTGTCGTACCTGAGCAGCACTGCCTGTGCTGCCTGCTGCTCGCTGAGGGTGGTGGCCAGATCTGAGTCCACCTGAACCTCGTGCGTCG